TTATTATATTATAAATTAACGAGGGGACCCTGTCCGCATTCCAGGAGACCAGTGTCAGTGGATAGTAGAGGGCATAGAAGGAGTGAAAGGTCAGAGCAATGGAAGGGCAGGTGGGGGCCAGGTTGCAAAGGGCTTTCAAGGCCAGATTGAAGACTTTATATTGCTCCTAAGGGAAACTGGAAGTTACTGGGGGAGGAGCTGATGTGGTCAGATCTATGCTTTAGGAAAAAACCTCATGACCGCTGAGTGAAGGTGGATGGGAGTGAGGAGAGGTAAGAGGCAGGAAGACCAGTGAGAAGCCTAATGCGATAGCCCAGGTGAGAGACGAGGAGGCCAGGACCTGGGGCTGTGTGAGTGGAGGGAAGAGGATGCAGTGATGCTGAGAAGGCGAAAATAACAAAAGGTGGACAGGTAGAGGAGAGGTAAAGAGCTGAGGATGATAACAAGTTTCTGAGTCTGAGTGACTAGGAAGATGTTGACACCTTTACAGTAATTGTGCAGTTTGGAAGAGGGCAGGATCTGAGGAAAAAGATAATGAGTTCTGTTTTAGAAATGTGAAATTTGAGATGTCTATGGGACCTCCAGTTCCAGATGTCCCAAAGAGGGAGGTCCTGTAGGTCCTGTATTTAATGTGGGTCTAGCACCCGGGGGGGCCCAGTAAATAGATCTGGGGATGGAACCCATGGGCACTGATGAGCTCACCAAATGAGACACAGTGTAGAACAAAAAGAGAATAGGGCCCACAACTCACCCTTGGGGGACCCCCACCATTTGTGGGTATGACCTGGATGAAGAACCAGTAAGGGATACCGAGAAGGAACAACCTGAGAGGTGGAAGGAGAGCTAGGAGAGGCTAGTGCCATAAAAAACTAGAGAGAAGAGAGTATCTGGGGAGAAAGCGACCAAAAGTCAAAGGTCTAAGATCAAGAGGAATCAGGATGAGGGGCAGCTAGGTAATGCAGTGGATAGAGCATTGGCCCTGGAGTCAGAAGAACCTGAATTCAAAGCCAGCCTCAGATACTTACTAGCTGTGTGACCCTGGGCAAGTCACTTCATCCCGATTGCTTCCAAATCACTCCCCTCCCTCCAAAAAATCAGGATGGAAAAAAAGCAATTAAATTTGGCAATTAATATTAATGATAAGAATAATGACAATAGCTAGCATTTATACAGCATTTTCCAGTCTTCAAAATGCTTACGTATGCTATTGTTGGTGTTCAGTCATTTCAGTCATGTCCAACTCTTTGTGACCACATTTGGGGTTTTCTTGGTAGAGATACTAGAGTGCTTTGCCCTTTCCCTTTCCATCTCATTTTACAGATGAGGAAACTGAGGCTGACAGGGTTAAATGACTTGCCCAGGGTCACACAGCTGGTAAATATCTGAGACCAGATTTTAACTCAGATTTTCCTGACTGCAGGGCCAGTGCTCTATCCACTGTGCAACCTAGCTGCCCTACATACATTACATATTTATAAATTAATTTTCAGTTTACACATGTCTATCTATGTATCTACATCTCTATCTCTCTCTATCGAATCTCATTGGTAACTTTGAAAAAAGCAGTTTGAGTTGAATGACGAAATGTAAATAGTATTGATAGTTAGGGGTTGGAGGGTGTTAAAGGTCAGAAGTTGAGTATCCCGAAATCTAGCCTTGAGTCCTTTGAGTATGCAGGGACAGAATAAGGGGCTGAGGAGCTTGAGACCAGAGGATCATCATAGATCGTAGTCTGGGGACTTAGGGATCTGGGCTAAAGTCTAGAGGCAAAAGCTCCAGGGATTCAAGGGTAGAGGGTAGGGAGAAAGGAGTCAGTATCACTTGGAACATGTGCCCCCACCCCTTTATTCCTTACTCAGACTCAGACAAACTCCAGTGCCTGTCCTTGAAGATCACTCCAGATAACAAGTGCCAGACTGTGTTCCCTGGGATGATTACAGAGAACATGCTGTGTGCAGGAGGTGATGTTGGGAGAGATGCTTGTCAGGTGAGTGACTGGACCAACAGAGACCAAGAGAGATACAGAAAGACAAACAGAGACCTAGATGATGAGATAAAAAGAGGAAGAGACAGTGACAGTGACAGAGATCAAGAGAGAAAAAGAGACAGAGAAAAAAGAGAGCCAAAGATCTTGGGTTCAAATCCTGCCTTTGCTACTAATTATCCATATAACTTTGAACAAGCCAATTCTCTTTGTTGTCTCGGTTTCCTGCTCTGTAAAATGAGGCTGTTGGATTAGAATGACATTGATTTCTCCCATCTCAAAATCTATAAGCTTATGAAACCTATGACAAAGAGAGAAAAAGAGAGTGACAGAGGCAGAGAGAATAAAAAACAGAAAAAATAGAAATAGATGTAGCAAAAGAGAGAGATGAAAAGTGAGAGAGGAGACATAGAGAGATGTGCAGAAAGACAGATACATAGAAAAAAAACAGAGAAACAGAGGCAGAGATAGAGAAACAAAGAGAAAGAGACAAAGACAAAAAAATGGAAAGAGATGTGTAGAGAGAGAGATCAAAAATGAGAGAGGAGAGACAGAGACACAGAGAAATAGACAGAGACAGAGATATAGAGAGAAAAGCAGAGATAGAAACAGAGTTAGAGATAGAGAAACAGAAAAAAGACAGAAAGAGACAAAGACAGACAGAGAAAGAAACAGAGAGCAATGGAGGAGATGCTAAGAGAGAGATAGCATAGAGGAGGAGGAGAACCTTACATTTGGGTCTGAGGCTCAGGCCTGTGTCTCTGTCTCTCTTGTTGCAGGGAGACTCAGGAGGACCACTGGTGTGTGACCATGTCTTGCAGGGACTGGTGTCATGGGGTGCTGTAGGTCCCTGTAACCAAACAGGCATCCCTGGAGTTTACACCAGGATATGCAAGTATACAGACTGGTTATGGGAGACAATGAGGAAGAAATGAACTGGTCTTTTCCTGGCCTTCATCTCATCTTCTACTCCCACCCATCACCCTCCTCTTAAATAAACCCATTTGCAACTAGAGGAGAGGCTGTATCTGTCTTTGTTGAAAGAAGGAGGGAGGGGAAGCCAAAGTGGGGGGATTTGCCAGTAATCCACACAGTCCTGGATTCCTAGTCTTTGGGAGAATGGATCATTGAATCCTCATTCCAAGCATCAGGACACTGAACCCAGAAGGCAGACAAGCAATTCCCCCAAGGGCACATAGAAAAGAAAAAAGAATGGGAACTTTAGGGTTCCTTGTGCAGCAAGCTTTGTAACACCTGTAAATTCTGGAAGGGGAAGGGGAGAGTATAGACTGAAAAAAGAAGGGAGGGAGAAGACAGTGAGGAAGGAGGAGAGAAGAGAAGAGTAAGGAAGGGGATGATGGGAAGGAGAAAAGAAATTTGAGAGAGGGAGGATGGGAAAGGGGACAGGAGGGCATAGACAGGAGAGGAGAGGAGGGGAAAGATGAAGAGAGGAGAGAGAGGAGAGGAGGAAAGGAAGAATGGAGATAAGAAAGACTCCATCACCAAGCATTTATTAAGCATCTACTATATACCAGACACCATTCTGAGACGGTAGAGATACATAATGATAGTGAAATAGAGAAGAAAAGAGCATGGGAAAGGAGAGGTGAGGGAGAACAGAATGGAAAGAAAGAAAATGGAAGAAAGAGAAAGGATGAGTGAAAGGAAGAAAAAGAAAGGAAGAAGGGGAGGAAAAGAAAAAAGTAACAGAAAGAAAAAAGAGAGAAGGAAACAAGGAAGAAAACAAGATGGGAAGATAGGAAGAGAGAGGAGAGGACAGAGGGATTAGAGAGAAAAGTAGAAGAGAAGAAAGAAGCCTGAGGACTGCACCTGGGCTAGGGAGAAGAGGACCGACAGGAGAGGCCATCCCCAGCCCCCAAGGGGTCAAGGTCTTTTCCCCAACCCTGACAATGCTATAGGCAGCAGCCTGACTCGCAGATGTCCCTCATGTTCGGCCTACACACACACACACACACACACACACACACACACACACACACACACAACCCCTTCACAAGCCCAGTCAAGTCAAAGATTCGAGGCCTCTGGGGAGCTGCCAATTTGAACTCCTAATCCTCACCTCCCACTAAGCTCCTGAGTGGGTGTGCTCACAGAGGGGCCTGAACCCGAGTCATAACGCCAGAAAGAGGAGAGAGAGATTGACACGGAGCTAAAGGGACAGAGAAGACAAAAAAGCATGTCGAAGGTAGACAGAGCAGCTTTGCTCCTACCTCGTTAAATTCTATACATTTTATATGGACAGTTTAGCCTGATGTAATAATGTATTTTATATTGTCGTCTATATTTATTTATGTGAGTCTTACAAAATAGACAGCATTTAGCAGCACTTTCTTATCCAAGGACCTTTCTGGTTCTTTGTGCATTGAAATGTTTTTATTTTTTGATTACTAAGTTTCCCCAGAAAAGAATATTTGATTCTTTAAAAATTAAAGAGAGACAAGTGAGGAGACAGAGACAAAGTGTAGCGCAGACTGAGATGAAGACAAAGACAGACACTGAGACCGAGACTGAGACAAGTGTAAAGACTGAGATTGAAGGAAGGGAAAAATAGAAAAAAGAGACGGAGACAAAAGTGCAGAGACTGAGACAGAGACAAAGAACAGAGACTTCGAGAGATGGAAAGACAAAGAGCTAAAAGAAAGAAATACAGCTGCAAAGAGGCAGAAAGAGTCAGAGAGAATGACAGAGACAGAAGCAGAGACTAAGAGAGAGAAACGGGGGGGGGGGCAGACCCTTGGAGAGATGACAGAGAAAGAAGAGGAGCACAAACTAGGTAGCTTGAGATACAAGACAGGCCTGAGAGAGGGGGAAAGCCGAGATGGCTAGCTCAGGAAACTAAGACGGGGCTGCCGGGGCTGCGGATGCCGAGGGAGGCGCAAGGGTGGGCCGGCGGGGCAAGGGGGAGGCGGGCCCCTGCACACTCCGCCCCCTGGGGCTCCCCCCCGCAGATAAGGCCGGTCCGGGCGGGCTCAGTCATCTCGGGGCCCGCCCGACGGCCCGGCCCGGCCCGGCCTCCCCTCCGCCGGCAAAGGGCACTCGCTCCCGAATTTGTCCCAGCCCCAGCCCCAGCCCCAGCCCCAGCCCGAGTCTGAGCCAGAGCCCCAGCCGCCCCAGCAGCAGCCGCCGCCGCCTTGGGAGTCCGCCCGCCCCCGGCCCCAGGCCCCTCCCAGGCTGTCCGCAGGCCCACTCCCAACCCCAGGTGAGCTCAGCCGAAGCGGGTGGGGGGATCGCCCCATCCCGCGCCTCGAATTCCGGGTCCTACACCCTCGCGTCCGAGCGCCCAGCTTCGTCTCTGTCCCTGAGCTCCCTGGTGTCTCTCTTTGTCTCTGTCTCTGAACTCTCGGTCTCTGGTGCCTCTCCTAGTCTTTCTCTTTCTTTGAATCTCAGTGGTCTCTGCCTCCGTCTCTCCTGGTCTCTGCATCCGTCTCTCCATAGGTCTAGCAGCCTCACTTTTCTTGTACCTGTGACTGTCCCCTCGGACTCACCCTGTCTCTATTGTCACTTTCTGCATGGGGCTCCCTATCCCTATGTTTCTTCCTCCTCAGGTGCCCAGGGTCCAGCTGCCCCCAACCTCCCTGACCCCTTGACCCCGGAGCGCCTGGCCCTGCCCGCCCCCGAAAGTGCAAATTGGGACACGGTCCCGCCCTCTCCAGGCCGGACTGCCAGCACCGAGACCCCGCCCCCCAGGGGCCGGGAGACTGGGAGAGCAAAAGAGAACGTGCCTAGACCCGAGGATGTGGGGCAAGACCAAGGGTCCGGGAGGGAGAGAGGCCGGGGTTGGGCCGAGGTGGGATGTCGGGAGACGGGGTAGAACGAGCAGATAGAGACTTGTCTGAATGTGTGGGGGCAGGAGAGGAGGAAAGGGACGAGCAAGGCACCGAAGGAAGGGAAAGAAGGAAAGAAGAAGCAAGAAGAGGGATGAAATAGGGCAAAGGAGAGCCCACGGCATTTCATAACTGCCTACTATGGGGCGCTGGGCAAAATTAAATCGTGCTAGACTTTAGAATGAAAAAGACCAGAGGGATACTACCTGCCTAAAGGAGTTTTCGTTCCTAAGCGGAGACGCGACTGTGTCCTAAGTAGATACAAAGTAACCTTCGGCGAGGGGTGGGATCGGGAAGAGATGAGGGGATGAGATCGGGAAGTACCGCGGGGATGGGACTGGAAGTGAAGACGGGACGTGGGGATGGGTTCAGGAAGGATAAAGAAAATTTGATTTATTCTGCTTGGCCCCAGACCAGAGATCCAGAGGAGCAATGGTCCGAGCCTCAGAGGTGCTGGCTCAATGAATTGGAGCAGCTTCTTAAGAATTCGAACTCCCTAGACTGTCTCTATATGTAGGATGTCTTCTCTTGTCAGAGGTCTTCAGAGGGAGGCTGGGTTGATAATTTGTCAATTATATTGTAGAGGAAATGACTTATGATGTCCAAGGTGGACTAGATGGTATTTGAGGCGCTTTGTAACTCTGGGATTCTGACACATGGAAGGTGGGGAGGGAAAGCAGGAGTTTTCAGTAAGAGCTAGCATTATATGCTAGGTGGTGAAGTGGATAGAGCAAGGAGACTGGTGTCATTTCCCTGAGCTCAAATCTGGTCTCAGACACTAGTTGCGTGACCCTGAGCAAGTCACTTAATTTTGTTTGCCCCAGTTTGCTCATCTGTAAAATGAGGTGGAGAAGGAAATGGCAAACCACTCCTGAATCTTTGCCAAGAAAACCTGAAATGGGATCACGGAGAATTGAAAGTTATAGTAGACTGAACAACAACAATAAAGCGTTTATAAAGCATTTTAACGTCTGTGAGGTACTTTAGATATGCTATCTCATTTGCGATAGAGTAAGAAAGGTCAGAATAGAGGTGGTGTTGAAGGAGGTAAGGGGGAAAACAGGGGGAGTAGAGAAGAGAAGGTGATAGAAGGAAGCAGGGGACATGACAGATTCATTCATTCATTCATTTATTTTTAAGGATAGGAAATGGGATTAAGTGACTTGCCCAGGGTCACACAGCTAGTAAGTGTTATGTGTCTGAGGCTAGATTTCAACTCAGGTCCTCCTGAATCCAAGGCCAGTGCTCTATCCACTGCGCTACCTAGCTGCCCTAAGGGACGTGATAGATTTAGAGGGACATAGATTGGGAGGTGATAAGGAGAGTAATGGAGATCAAAGTGGGGGACAAAAAGGACTGTAAGAATCACTGGGGTGTTAAGAAGACCTCTTAACCAGGTGAACCCCAGAACCTTTCCCAAGGCATTGTTTGATTTCTGAGCTCTCAGCACATTCACAATCTTGGGAGAGGGTTTGCTGCCACCAACCTCCTCTCCCACTTGAAATTCTTCTGATCCTCTGATTTTTTCCTAATCCAGTGAAAAAAAAAAAGAGAAGGCTAAGGGGGAAAAATGTAGCCCCCTTAGATAACAAAAAGAATCAGTTAACAGAATACAGGCTTTAGCTGAATGACTGGTTACCGAAGACCAGTACAATTATAATTTCCAAATGTCCTGACGCAGTGAGAGCCGTCAGAAATATGTTGCTCCATATCATCCTGTTAGTCAATGGAATGAGAATATCTCCAAAGTTAAGTATCTGGGCCTACTTTCAAAGAGTAATTTTATAAAGCAATGATTAGGAGCAGAGTTCTGGATGCTTTTAGGGAAAATGAGTATCACAAATACAGAACTTTGAAGGTCTGTTTCTTGACTAGTAAGAGAGAATGATGGGAGAGAGAGAGAGAGAGAGAGAGAGAGAGAGAGAGAGAGAGAGAGAGAGAGAGAGAGAGAGAGAGAAACAGAGAGAGAGAGATGGGAAAGAGGGCGAGGAGGAGGAGAGAAGAAGAGAAGAGAAGAAAGAAGAAGAAGAAGAAGAAGAAGAAGAAGAAGAAGGAGAAGAAGAGGAAGGAGAAGGAGAACAAGAAGAAGGAGAAGGAGAACAAGAAGAAGAAGAAGAAGAAGGAGAAGGAGAACAAGAAGAAGAAGAAGAAGAAGAAGAAGAAGGAGAAGGAGAACAAGAAGAAGAAGAAGAAGAAGGAGAAGGAGAACAAGAAGAACAACAACAAGAAGAAGAAGAAGAACAAGAACAAGAAGAACAAGAAGAAGAAGAAGAAAGGAGGAGGAGAGACAGAAAGACATAGTGAGACAGAGGGGTAGAGAAAGCTGAATGGATTGTAGAGGGAGACGGAGAAAAAGTAGATAGGAAAAAGATGAGAGAAGAAGAGCTAGAGGAAGATAAAGGAAAATAGTAGGAAAAGAAGGGAGGGGAGAAAGGGAAGTAGTATGGCATGAGTTACTTGTTTGATATAGAAAGTTAGCAGGAGACATAAAGGAGATGAAGGTGTACTTGACAGAGAGGTACAGAAGGGGAAATCCAGGAATCAGAGGGAGGAAACATGGTGGAAAGAATCTGGGTGAAGATAGATGGAGTCCACATTGTCCATATATTCCATGTTATTCTTGGTGGAGAATAGAGACAACCAGGGTAGAAAGAGAGAATAGAAGGAGGATTTCAGGAAATAGATCATAAGCTTGGCATTGTGTAAAGATGGGAGACATGAGATGCTAGACAAATTATTTGTGTATCTACTGGAACTCCCTCTGACAAAAGCAAAACTAAGAGATTCCTTAGTAATAATTAAACCCTTCTACAGATGAATTAAAGAAATGACAAGGGGAAATTTTCTTGTAGATCTGATTTTCCTCCCCTGGGGTAAACTAGTTGGTGAGGTGGAAAAGATAGAAACCTTGAGGGGAAGGGACCACTCCATCTTAGATTTCAAAAAGCTTAGAGAAAGGACACATAGGATTTAGTGCATTTAAATTCTATGAGGAAAGAAATCCCAGGAAGAATAGGAAATTTGCAAGTGTGAAATCATCAAAGTGAAAAGAAATTATCTAAAGGGAAGGATGAGGATGCATCTCAATTTGTTTTTTAGAGAACATCTTTGGAAGACAAAGCAAGGACAGGTAACAGGATGAACACAGAAGCCAGGTGTGGTCCTATGTGAATAGAATCGGGAGTGCTAAAACTTCAAAGGAGATGAAGCTGCCAAGTAATACCAAGGACAGAAAAAAAAATTTTTTTTTAAAGTTCTGTTAGGGAAAATAGAAGGGATAAGATTGTTCAGATGATGTAAGATGATAGAATACAGGGCTACTCAATGTCTACCTGACTTTTGTTTTCTCTGCCAAAGACAATGAACTTTGGACCAGAAAGAGCAGAACCAAAAACGGCATACAGGGAATTGATACTCAATATAAATAGGAAAGTGGGAGGAAATTCTGGGATGGTCCTGGATGAACTAGCCTTATTAGGAATAGATAAACTGCATTTTGAGGGCCAAAAGGCCTAGTGGAAGGAATTGCCAAGCTATCTGAAAGAGTGAAACATGGAAAAAGTAAGGGCCTGAAGAAGGCCAGACATTGTCCTGATTTCAAAAAAAAAGAAGAGATACCGAAATCTGAAAACTGTTGGCCAGTCCAAATATTATTAAGAGGATGGTGATGAGCATCTAGAGAAGGAAGCAGTGGTCAGTCTATTACGATTTCCTTAAGAACAGGATGTACTGAACTCAATTCACTTCCCTTTTTTGACATGATTTCTAAACTCATCAAAGAGTGGGAAGCCATAGTAAAGCTTTTTTTTTTTTTTGGCTATGCCCAGGATCACACATCTAGTAAGTATTATGTGTCTGAGGCTGTATTTGAACTCAAGTCTTCCTGACTCCAGGGATGGAGTTCTATCCACTGCACCACCTAGAGTAGTTGTCTATACTTCAATGTCAACAAGGCAAGAGGTCTCCAGTGGAGAATGCAGAGAGGTCTGGACTTAGTCTTGTTCTATTTAACATGTTTATCAATAATGTGGGCAGAGACAATCCACACGTGAGTTTTGCAGATGACCCCACTATAGGAAGGACAGAAATGTCAGAAACAGAAACTAAGAAGTTCTTAGTGTGCTTAAATGTTGAATGAAGTCTAGTCAGATGAAATTTACTAGGGACAAACTCAAAAGCATGTTGATAAATCAAAATAAATTAGTTTTAAAAATTAAAAAAAAGAAATTTATTAGGAACAAATGTAAGATTGCACTTCCTAGTTCATGAGTTATTTGAAAAAAAAATTGGGGATTTTTAGAACATAAAATTCTTGAAGCCAGAGGCTATATTTCCTTCTCCCCCCCCCCCCATCTGCTAGGCTTAGCACAATGCCTGGCCCATAAAAAAAAAAGGCTTAACAAATATTTGTTGATTCATTTTTATGGGCTGCAAGGTTAATATTACTTCACGGTAGTCTGCTATAAGAAAACCAGAGGCTACATCTAGGCTGGTGATAATCCCTCTGTCCTGGATCCCGGTCAGACAATTGAGTGTTACTTCCCGCTCTGGGTACCACCTTCTAGAACCAAACCAAAACAAAAAACCAAGAAAAAACAAAAAAAAAGCTGGAACATTTCTAAAGAGGACCAGAGTGCAGAAAAACTAGAGATCCTGAAGTACAAGGAACAATTGCAGGCAGGAACTTGAGATGTTTGGCCTTGAGAAGAGAAGATTTCAGGGGGTGGAAAACTGAAGAATTTAAGATTCTGTAAGAATTTAAGATTTAAGGATTTAATGTTCCTTAAGGATTTAAGATTCTTTAATTCTTCTGAAATTTAAGATTTAATGGCATGATAGTTGTCTTCAAGTATCTGAAGGTCTATCACCTGAGAGAGGGATTGACCCCAAAGGACAGAGACAGGGGCAGTGGGAAGAAGTTGCAGAGGGGCAGATAGAGGTTTCTCATAAAGAAGAATCCCTTCACCCTTGGAGTCAGCCAACATGGGAATGGGCTTCCCTGGGCGCCCCCCTTACTAAAAGTCTAGAGACAAAGGTTGGGTTGCCAATTGGTCTGGTATGTTGTAGTGAGGTTCCTCTTCACTTGTAGAATGGACTTGAATGTCAGTGTCTCAATGTCTCAATGTCTCAATGTCTGAAGTCCCTTCCAACTCTGAAATCCTGTTATTCAGTGAAAGGAAAGAGCCAATGACCCCTTCCACATTCAGCTTTACTCTTCTAGCTCTTACCCAGAGCAAAGAGAATTGTTTCCCTCTCCAAGGATATGTATTCATAATGACTCAATCTTCCTGGAGGGAGGATGCATTGTGATTTCTGGGCTAACTCTCTGGCATATGTGTTGGCGGTGGGGGCAGATATTTTGGAGAGAGTATAAGATGGGGTGAGGTTGTGTGGGAGGGGACAGGAGCCTTCCTTCCCTCAATGCCTCCACAGCATCCCTGCCCATATTTCTCCAGACAGGATTTGGGGTCTGGCCTTCTCCTCTGACACCTCAGATCATGCCTCTCCTGACCCTAATGGTGCTTGCTCTGGTGACAGGTGAGAAATGAAGTCAGTAGCATGGTGAGGGGTGGGGCCCTCCATACCTTCATCCCTACCTTCTCCCCAGTCCTTACATAGCCCTTCATCTCTTCTCATTTTCATTCCCATTCTGATCCCCCAACAAGTCCTTGGATCTATTTGCCCCTTCCCAGGACCATGCTTAACTCCCTCTTCTCCACTTCCTTCTCACTTAGTTCCCCAATATCCACATTCCCTCCCTCCCTCTCTCCCTTCCTGTGTTTTCTCTGAATGGCTGACCCTCATCTTCTTCCTAGGTGGTGGCCAAGCAGAGACAAGAATTATAAAGGGGTACGAGTGTCCAGCCCACTCCCAGCCTTGGCAGGCCGCGCTGTTTCAGAAGTCTCGTCTACACTGTGGGGCTACCCTCATCAACCAACAATGGCTGCTCACAGCAGCTCACTGCCAGAAGCCGTGGGTGCGGGGGGGGGGGAGGAGAAGGCCGGGACTCAGGGCTAGGGGTGACACTTGGGTTAGGGATGGTGTTAAGGATGGGTTGGAAGAAAGGGTGAGTTCAGACATAGGAAGGGGGAAGGAGGCAGAGCTAGAGATGGGGTTGGGAATGGAGATTGGGAATGAGTTTAGAGAAGGTCTATCTTTCTTCCTTCTCATGATTCAACTCAGTCACACACACACACATGTTTCTTTTTCTCATATGTCCGCCATGTTTCTTCCTTGACAGTTTCCCTATCTTCCCTCTTTCTGTCTCTGTATTTCATCTCATTGCCATCCCTTTCACACCTCACTGTTTCTCCCTCTTTCTCTTCCCAACTCTTTGTCCACCACAACTGCCACTCTTTCTCCCCTGTCTCCAACCCTGTGTCTCTTCATCTCTCTGTTCTACATCTTTCATCTCACCATCTCTTCCTTTCCCTTCTTTGTCCCCCTTGGCTTTCTTCCCTATCTTCTTGTCTCTAACCTAATCTTTCCCATTTTCTTTCTAGTATCTCTCCTCCATTTCCAACCCTGATTCCTTCATTTCCATGTCTATCCCTCCTCATCTCTTCTTCAACCCACCTCTCTCTCTCTCTCTCTCTCTCTCTCTCACTCATCTCTAATCTACTCCATTTCTTCTATGACTTTCGTGTCTCTATGCCCTTACCCTATCTCGCCACCATCTATAACTCAGTCTTTCATATTTCTTCCTCATCAGAATCATAGAATTTCACAGTTGGAAGGAACCTCAGAGGCATCTAGTCCAACTCATCCCTGAAAACTAGTCCCTGCTATAACCTTCCCAACAAATGGTCATCCAGGCTCTCTGCCCGACAGCTTCATATCCCATGATGCTCCAGACCACCCATCCCACTTTGGGATAGCTCTAGTGTTAGCAAGTTTTTTCTGACCTTGAACCTAAATTTAGCTGTTTGTGACTTCTATTCATTGGTTTGGACTTCTATGGGCAAACAAAATAAGCCTACCTTGCCCACATTGCAGACTTCAAATCCATGAAAACAACTATCACGTCTCCTTCCTCTCCTCTTCTCACTGTCTTCTCTTTCCCATTTTTTCAATTGATCTTAATATGGTGTAGACTTAAAAGCCTTTACCAGTCTAGCTTCTCTCCTCTAAACATTATCTAGCTTATGAGTATCCTTAAACTATGACACCCAGAACCAAAGATGATAATGTCTGACTAGGACAAAGAACAGTGGGACTGTCACCTTCCTATTTCTTAAAGCCCTGTCTCTCTTAAAGTAGCCCCAAAATCACAGTAACTTTCTGGCTGTCCCAGCCACATGCTGACTAATCCTAAGCTTGTGGTCCACTAAGACCCTCAGATCATTTTCAGACAAATTGCTCTCCATCTGTTCCTCCCCTCTCTTGTACTTGTGAGGTTGATTTATGAATAGGTATAAGACTTTCCTCTTCTCCCTACTTAAATTTTGCTTGATTAGATTTGGCCCAAGATACTAGACTGTTGAGATATTTTTCTGGATCCTGACACTGCCATTCAATGTACTTGTCATCCTCTTGATACACATTTTTTTTTCAAATTTTTAAAAAATTTTATTAATTTATTTTGATTTATCAACAATCACTTCCATATGCTTTTGAGTTTAAAATTTTTCTCTCCCTCTCTCCCCACCACCCTCCCCAAGATGGTACACAATTTGATATAGGATATATATTTACATTCCTATTAAACATATTTTCACAGTGAAGTTGTAAGTAAAAATTAAAACCAATAGGAGGAACCATAAGAAAGAGGAAACGAAACTCAACAGAAGAGAAAAAAAAAGTTAGCAATTCAACTTTCACAGTTATGATTACTATCTGTGTCTTTTTCTCCAACCTTTTCCCCCCTGTTTATGCTTTTCTTTCTCCTCTCTCCCTTCCCCTCCTCATCAGTACTTTGCTTTTGACCACCACCTCCTTCAGTCTCTCCTCCCATTATCCCCCTCCCCCTCTTCCCCTTTCCTCCCACAGCTTCTTCCCTCCCTTCCATCCCCCCTCTCTTTTCTTTCCCCCTTTCCCTCCTACTGCCCATAGGGCAGGTTAGATTTCCATACCTAACTGATTATGTATTCCCTTCTTGAGCCAAATCTGATGAGAACAAGGTTCAAACAATGCTCACCCACTTACTTGGATCCATTTAACCCACTTGATTAGATTTTTTTTTTATCATTGCATCAAAGTCAGCTAATATCCACCCCCTTTATGTATACTCCTTTAACATGGTGTAATAACAATACAGTTCTCAAGAGTTGCATGTCATCTTCCCTTGTAGGGATGTAAACAGTCTGCCCTTATTAACAATATTTTGTATCTTTCTGTCCCATTTACCTTTGTATGTCTTTCTTGAATCTTGTACTTGAAGATCAAATTTTTTGTTGAGCTCTGGTCTTTCTATCAGGAAGGTTTAGAAGTCCCCTATTTTGTTGAATATCCATCTCCTTCCCTGAAAAATCATGCTCATTTTTGCAGGGTAGTTGATCCTTGGCTGCAATCCAAGCTCCTTTGCCTTTGGAATATCATGTTCCACCCTGCGTCTTTTAATGTAGAAGCTGCAAGGTCCTGTGTAATCCTGACTGTGGTTCCATGATATTTAAATTGTTTCTTTCTGGCTGCTTGCAGCACCTTCTCTTTCATCTGGTAATTTTGGAATTTTGCTATTATATTCCTTGGTTGTCAATTTGGGATCTCTTTCAGGTGGTGAGCGGTGTATTCTTTCTATGGTTATTTTACCTTCTGGTTCTAGGACTTCGGCAGTTTTCCTTTATGATATTCCTGAAAGATACTGTCCAGGCTCTTTTTTTCATCATGATTTTCAGGTAGTCCAATGATTTTTAAATTGTCTCTCCTGGATCGATTTTCCAGGTCGTTGTTTTACTGATGAGGTATTTTTGTTTTCATCATTTTTTCATTTTTTTGTTTCTGTTTGACTGATTCTTGCTCTCTCATAGAGTCATTAGTTTCCATTTGTCCAATTCTAGTTTTTAACAGATTGTTTTCTTCTGTTAGTTTTTGTACTTCCTTCTTCAATTGGCCAATTGTATTTTTAAGGGATTTGTTTTCTTCAGTGTACTTTTTTTCCAATTGGCCAATTGTATTTTTTAAGGACTCTTCTACCTCTCTCATTAGACTTTTAAAATCCTTCTTGAGCTCTTCTAAGAAGGCTTTTTGGGCTTCAGACCAGTTCATATTCCCTTTTGATGTTGCAGATGTGGGTTTGTTGACAATGTTGTCCTCTTCAGAATTTCTGTCTTGATCTCCACTCTTCTCATAATATGAATCTATGGTATGTTTCTTTTTACTCATGGTTTCTTTATTCCCTGGCCTTTAAAGAGATTGAGCTCTCCTGCTGGGGAACAGAGGGCACTGACCCAAGCTTCTTGTGTTGGGAGCCTAGGTCTTGGTCACTGGCTTTGTGTGCTGGGGCCTCTTATGTTGGCAATTGGAGGCTGTAGGGTTTTGGCAGCTTACTTTTTGTTGGGCTGGAATCAGCAAGGCTGGAACTTTCAGGCAATTCTAGGTTGCCTGCTTTTCCTTTCCTTTAGCTTTCTTCAGCTCCTTTTAGATGGGTGCTGCAGGGTGTTTATCTGCCTGGGGCCCCTTGCAATGCTGTCTCCCTTGTTTCTGCTAATGCACTGGGAGATTCCTTTTTGGTAGAGTGCCAAGCACCTGGTGGTTTTCTGAGCTGGTTTTCACTGGTTCCCCTGCCGTCACTGAAGCACTCGGAAGTCCAGGTGTTGGTGTTTGCATGCTCTACCACTCGGGCTTCAGAATCTCCTCCTGGTTGACAGCTGGGCTGTAGAGTTCTGAAAGCTTACCTGGTGTTGGGTTGGAATCAGCAAGGCTGGACTTTTCCCTCTTGATACATATTCAAAATGAGAAGCAGCACAGGGTCAAACACAGATCACTTAGGTCCGTCACTTGAGTCCTCCTTGCAAAATGACATGGAACCAGTAAGGATTACTTTTTAGGTCCATCCATTTGACTCGCTCTGAGGCCACCCAATGTTGCTGCTGTCTAGTCTCCATTTCTCCCTTTTATTTGTCAAATATTTTGTCAAGTGTTTTGCCAAGCTCTGGGTCAGAGTTCCCAAACTTATCTGGCCTACCATCTTCTTTAAAAATAATTACTCAGCACCTCCCTGGAAATCTACTTTCTTTAACCCTTTAGTGTTTTTTAAAAATTTATGTCATTTTTAAAAATGTGAAATATTTGTTTAAAAAATGACACATCTTAAATTTGATATTTTATTGCAAATTTGTGGTTTTTTCCTGCATTGAAATTTTGATGACGTAACATTGCATCAAGTAATTGTATAGCATTTTATTGTAAACAAGTCATTATATGCACATATTCCTGCCAATGCATACTGGACTTCCCAACAATGTGTAACACACTTGCCTGCCTATACTTGCTTTCTTTTTTTTTTTTTGCTTTTTGGTGGGGCAATCAGGGTTAAGTGACTTGCTTAGGGTCACACAGCTAGTAAGTGTCAAGTGTCTGAGGCTGGATTTGAACTCAGGTCTTCCTGACTCCAAGGCCAGAGCTCTATTCACTGTGCCACCTAGTTGCCCACAACACTTGCTTATTAAGACTTTTTGGTGGACTTGTAGGTTATAACTTGCATTTTGAGTATTTATTTGGAAAATAATATCATCACTGTGACTTTAACTCTGTTGTTACACAACAGATGAAACATGTAGGAATGGTTTTTCAAAATTTTCTTATGTTCTCTTCTTTCCTTATGCTTCCATTCAACACCCACCAGTTGCACCCAAGGCTACTACTTCCCCCCTGGATTGTTTCAGTGCCCCTCAGGGGGCAGTATTGCCCACTTTGGGAACCTCTGTAAGAGTCTTAGTAAATGACATATATTTTGGTTCCCTAAGCTGGTGTCTTACACAGAAACATTAGGATGGCATGATCTGGTTTGGGGTAAAACCATGTTGACCTTTTGAGATCATGACTTATTTTTGGTATATGTTTATTAGCCATCTCTGTGATAACTCATTTTTAGAATTTTTGAGGAATCATGGACTTATAGTTTTCTAATTCTGCCCACTTCCCTTGGGGCAATATCTTTTCTCCAGTCTTAATGTCTTTCCCCTTTTTACTCTACCCTTCCCCTATTTCTTTGTCTTTCTCCTCACCTCTGACATTCTTTCTTTTCTCTCTCTTGTTCTCAGATCTTCTATCACTTCTCTCTCTTACTGTCCTTTCTTCTGTTTTTCTTTCTCAGCTCTAACCATTTTCTCCCATTTTGCCCCACTTCTCCCACCTCCATGTCCCTTGATTTTGTCTCTCCAGCTCTAACCTCATCTTCTCCACTTTTCCTTTCTCCTCTCCACCTGTAGCCAGTACTGGGTGTACCTAGGGGCACATAACCTTCAGCGGCCGGATAGCTGCGAGCAGAGAAGGATGGCGACTGTGTCCATCCCCCACCCAGGCTTCAACGGCAGCCTCCCCAACAAGGACCATCGAAATGACATCATGCTGGTGAAGCTGAAAGCCCCTGTGATGCTGACACGGGCGGTGCAACCCTTACGCCTGCCTGAGCACTGTGCCACTCCAGGCTCTCGATGCCTCATCTCCGGCTGGGGGACCACCACTAGCCCCCAGTGTAGGGGTCCCTCAGAGGGATGGGGACACCTCACAAGGGGAAATGGGTGGACAGAAAATACCTGGGGAGATATCTGGTGATACAAGGGGACATATAGAGACACAGAGACATGTGGGGAGACAGTGAGAGATATTAAGGCCATATGTGCAGAGACATAGGGACACTTAGGGAGACAGTGAGAGATATTAGGGACATACATACAGAGACAGTTGGTTGCATGTGGAGACAAGAAGTCAGTGGGGGACAAAAAAGGGTACATGGGGAAGCAGAGAGAGACAAAGGGAGACATGAGGCATAGGGGAGGTACAAGGGGTGAGATATAGAAAGACCCATGGGGACCCTGGGGAATTCAGTGAGGATTGTACTGGGGGGGTTGGTGGAGAAAGAAGATGGTAAAAAGAGGAGGATCGAAGATTGATAGTCTCAAGCTGGAGATGCCCATTTTGAAAAGGGAGGGAGGGTACCTTCTCTCAAACCCAGCCATCCTGCAGACATATTCCCTTTGGAAAACGTAGGTACCCTGCTGAGGGTTCAGCGTAGTGTGGGAAGGGCCCTAGGGAGAGAGGCTGTTTGACTCATGCCCAGCCTCTCTGCCTCCACAGTGACTCTCCCCCAAACCCTTCGATGTGCCAACATAACCATTATCGATCACAGGGAGTGTGAAGCGGCCTATCCTGGGAATATCACAGACACCATGGTGTGTGCCAGTGTCAAGGAGGCGGGCAAGGACTCCTGCCAGGTCTGCTGGAAACATAAGCCCAATCCCTAATTACATTCTTTCCCCACCCATTCCACTGCTCACTCCTATCCTCATTCCCACACTCATCCCATCCATTTCATTCCCATCCCTATCTCCATCCCTATGGTTGTCCCACCCCATTCCCATCCCTATCTCCATCCCTATGGCCATCCTTAGGTACATTTCCCTGAGGCCAGCTTTCACAATCTCTTCCAACAGGGTGATTCAGGGGGACCCTTGGTGTGCAATGGAACACTTCAGGGCATCATTTCCTGGGGCCAAGACCCCTGTGCTGTCAGCCGGAAGCCAGGCGTCTATACTAAGGTCTGCAAATATGTGGATTGGATCCAGGAAACTGTCAAGGACAATTAACCCTGACCAAAGAATATTTCCATCCACCTCCCTCCCGCATGCCTCCTCTTCTTGTCTACTTTATGCATAATAAATAGCCCTGGAAAGTCCTTGGTCATTTTTTAAAGCAAATTCATGGCTCCCCCACTTTGCACAGGAAGGTAACTATAACTCAGCGACCTGAGAGGCAGCCTGGCTTAGTGGATAAAGCTCAACCTGGAGGCAGGAAGACCTGGGTTCAAATTCTGTTCTTGACTTTTGCCACCTTCAGATTCTTGATATATCCAAGCTTCTGTAAAAATGGTGGTGGTGGGGGGGAGTAGACCTCATGTCTTCTGAAGTCTTTTCAGTTCTGACTCTGGGATTCTAAGATTCTATGACTTCATTTCCCTACTAGGGAAAGGTAACTTGGGCCCCTGTCTCATCCTTGAGGAGTGATTCTCCCAGGCCCAGGCACTGCTTCCTATCTCTGAAGTCCTGCCTGGAGGGCAGTCACACACAACCCTTCCCCACCTTGCTGAAGAACATGGGGGGCAGTGTGTGACCCAGGGGAAATGGGGCTGCCCTAGAAAGCCAGCTGGAGGGGAACAGGCTTCTCATCCAACCACCTCGGCTGGCAGCATTGTGCCCTGGAGCAATTCACTCTGCTCTCTGGACCTCAGCCGCTTTCTCCTTAAAATAAAGGGCCTTTAGAACAAGGAAGGGGTAGATGAAAGAGTGCTCTTAGGACCCATATCGTAGGAGCCTCAGAACAGGGAATGTCAGGGCTGGAGAAACCTTAGAAGAGGGAATTTCAGGGCTGGGAAGGCCTTGGAACAGAGAACGTCAGAACTAAGGGAAATCTAAATGGAGGAATAGTGACCCAGATGAGGGAGGTTCTGTTCCCACTTTACTTGGCCTTGACCACGTCACATCTGGTCCAGTTCTTAGTGCCACGTCAATCTGTCAGTCAAGTATACACACACACTATACACACACACACACACACACACACACACACACACACACACACACACACACATATATAATGATGATTATGTCCCAGGCACTGTGCTAAGTACTGGAGATACCAAAGAAAAAGGCAAAAGACAGTCCTTGCCCTGCAGATGCTCACAGTCTGATGTGTCAGGAAGGGCTGACATTGACAACTTGGACTGGGGTGCTTCTAGGGGTAGGTATCAGCTGAAGGAAATTGAGGTGTTTTGCCTAGAGAACAGAAGTATTAAGGAAGACATGGAAGCCATCTTCAAGTATTTTAGGATGCTAGTCTCTTACGGAAGGTATTGGGGATCTATTTGGCCCAAGAAGGTAGGCTCTAGAGCAGTGGGTATAAGTTGTGAAATGACACAATTAGGTTGATGGTGGAAACATTTCCTGACCCTTAGAGCCATTTGGAAGAATTTCTTTTTTGGCTAGGCAATGGGGTTAAGTGACTTGCCCAGGGTCACACAGCTAGTAAGTGTTAATATGTCTGAGGCTGGATTTGAACTCAAGCCCTCCTGAATCCACTGCACCACCTAGCTGCGTACACCCCCCCCCCCCCGCACCTTAGAGCTATTTGGGAGGTGGAATGGGCTGCTTTGGAGGTGATGAGCTCTCCCTGACTGGTGATCTTCATAATGAAATAAGTGACTAGGGGCACAGTGGGTAGAGGGATGATCTAGAATCAGAGAGACCTGAGTTAAAATCCTGCCTCAATCACTTCCTTAGCTGTGTGACCTTGGGCAAACCACTTTACTTCTGTCTGCCTCTGTTTCCCCCTCTGTAAAGTGGGGGTGACAATAACACCTACCTCCCGGGTCGTTGTGACAATCAAATGAGGTAGCATAAGGACAGTTCCACATCCAAGCTGGCCGTTATTATGACTGCTTGCTGGGTATGTGCAGAAGGGATTGTTGTTCAAGGATGGCCTGCTACAGTTAGCCCCTAAAGTCTTTTCTAACTAAGACATTGTGTGCCTTTATGATTCTTTGTTCCCTGGTGACCTCGGAGGGAGCAGACTGGAAGAGCGAGTTGGAAGGTGAGGAGGAAGCGTGGGATCATGGAAAGAATGCTAGATTGGTGGCCAGAGAATTGGAGACCAAATCCCATCTCTGCTATGGGCTCCCTGGGCAGTCTTGGCTAAGTCCTGTTTCCTTCCTTGGCCTCAGGTTTTTCATCTGTAAAATGAGCCCATTGGACTCAGGGCCTTTGAGACCCCTTGGGGCTCAAGATCTAGGCCCTGAGACAAGCAGAGGGCAACCCTGATGAAGCCTGAAGGAAGCGAGCCTGCCTCGAGTTATCATGGCAGCAAACTGGGCACATGATTCAGACTGAAGAGGAGCCAAAACTACTAGCCTGGATGCCCACGGCTCTGGCCCGGTGCCAGGAAGATGGGCGGCTGGGTCAGATCCCAGGAGTGGTGAGTAAGTGTGGACAAATACCAGAGTCAGATGCTGAGAATAGAGGTCTGATAGGCACATAACATAGGAAAACCAGGAACCCAGGGCAGGCTGGGAAGAGATTCCTGCCAAGCTAAACTAGATCTTAGAGCCTGGGAGATACTGGTGAAAAAAGCTGTCAAACCACCCACCAGGCCAGGCAGCTCCCCAGCTTCTTTATTTATAGGGGCAGCTGTTATGGCAACTTCTCCCTTCTCCTATTGCGATCCTTAAAGTACAAAATGTAGTACAGGGAATGTCAGAGCTGGGAGGGCCCTTAGAACAGGCAATGTCAGAGCTGGGAGGGCCCTTGGAACAGGCAATGTCAGAGCTGGGAGGGCCCTTGGAACAGGCAATGTCAGAGCTGGGAGGGCCCTTGGAACAGGCAATGTCGGAGCTGGGAGGGCCCTTGGAACAGGCAATGTCGGAGCTGGGAGGGCCCTTGGAACAGGCAATGTCAGAGCTGGGAGAAGCCTTAGAACAGGGAATGCCAGAACTGGAAGGGGCTTCCAAACAAAGAATAACCAGTTGATAAACGTTGATTAAGCTTCTATTACCTGTCAGGCACTATGCTAAGGGCTGGAGATACGAATATTAAAAAGAATTTCAGTTCCTGCCTTGAGGAGCTTATAATATAATGTTGCAATCTAATAGTCAAAAAGGAAACTATAAAGGGGGAGAGAAGATGCTAGAGCTGGGATGGCCCTTAGAACATACACTGTTTGAGCTGGAAAGGACCTTAGAACCTCAAGCCGAGAAGGGACCTTTGAACAAAGACCATCACAGAAGGGCTCGTCCTTGGAATGTGGAGCACAGGGAATCAGTTTGGGGTGGTCCACTGGGCTTTGTTTCACGTTGAGGCCTCACTTTGTCACTGTATAAACCTCAGTGAGTCAGTGAGTCATTTAATGTCTCAGCTTCAATTTCGTTGCCTGAAAAATGAAAGTGTCTGACTAGATTATCTCGGATTTTCTCTCTTTTGCATTGCAAGGTTCCTTCTAACTCGGATGGTCTGGATTTCCTGTTCTTTTTTTTTCTTTCTTTTTTTTTTTGGCAGTTGGGGTTCAGTGACTTGCCCAGGGTCACACAGCTAGTAAATGTTAAGTGTTTGGTCTGAGGCCGGATTTGAACTCAGGTCCTCCTAACTTCAGGGCTGGTGCTGTATCCATTGTGCCACCTAGCTGCCCCTTGGATTTCCTGTTCTAAGGCCCTTTTCTGTTTTAACCTTCAATGTGGTCTGTTCAAAAGTCCTTTCTGTCTCTGGCATTTTATGTGCAACAGTTCTCTGCCATGATGTCAGGTCCAGGATCTCAGTGAATAGGGACAGTAGCCACAATCACAACTACAGGGATGACTAATGTCATAAAACCCCTGTGACAGTAAACTAACTCCTACAAGAAGAATACAAGGAGACCTGTATCTGTCTCCCTTCCATCCTGGGTCCCCGTCTTGGTCTGTTGTTATTGTTCAGTCATATCTGACTCTCTGCCATCCCATTTGGGGTTGTCTTGGCAAAGATCCTGGAGTGGTTTGCTATTTCCTCCACCATTTCATTTTTACAGATGAGGAAACTGAGGCAAACAGTTATGTGACTTGCTCAGGGTCACACTAGTAAGTACCTGAGGCCAGATTTGACCTCAGATCTTCTTGACTCCAGGGCCAGAGCTCTATCCACTATACCATTGTACCTCTGGGAATGAAACTGCATAGACAGCTAGTCCCAGAGAACTGGCTCTATCTGGATTAGAGATGGTTTCTAGATGGCCCTCAACTGCTATGGATTGGACTGGGTTTTTGTTGTTGTTGTTTTTTCATAATGAAATTGATTCCAGAGTGGAATCTTTTAAAAATGCACCAATATAAGCAAGCCGTTGAGACTTTTCAATACACAAATGTTGATTAGGTCATATAAGTGTGGTACAGTGGATAGACTTCGGGGCTTGCAGTCTGGTAGACCTGAGTTCAGATCTGGCCTCAGATACTTACCCGCTGTGTGACCCTGGGCAAGTCACCTAACCCTGTTTGCCTTGGTTTCCTCATCTGTAAAATGTGCTGAAGAAGGAAATGGCAAAGCTCTCCAGCATCTTTGCCAAGAAAATCCCAATGGGGTCTTCAAGAGTCAGATACAACTGAAAGGACTGAACGATAAAGTACAAGCCCCAGGTTATCAGGATTCCTTTGGTGTCAGGGTCCCCATTTATATGAATTCATCATATAAAACAACTCTAGTTGTTTTCGTTGTTTTTCTACAAGTATTCCCTCCTCCCTCCGGAGAAAAGCACCTGGTAGTTGTCTCCATGGGCTATCATTCTATAATTCTTTAGCAAACAGACACACAAATACTCAGTTGCACATGCAAACAGCCTGGGGTGGGCGTGAGAAGGGGGAAGGGGCAGGATTCATCAGCTCCTTTCCCCAGGCATGGCTCTGTGTGGGGTGAAAGGGTTGCCTCTCAGCCCTCCTACAATTGGTAGACTTGAATCTGTCTTGTTCTCAATCCTGGAGGACTTCTAGTAAGAGGTGGCTGTTGTGAACTCTCTCAGATGTGGGAGGGGAAGGAGCTTTGTTAGAAGACAGAGAATACAAACTGAACCTAGAGCACAAGAAGTCTTTTTAAAATTAAAAAAATTTTTTTTTAAATCAGGGCCTCTCCCTGGGCAGGAATCTCAGAGTAGGCTTGGT